GAGAGAGAGAGACATGGGGGGGGGAAGAAACAGAAAAAAACAAAACAAAATGAGAGGCAAGAAGAGCCCAAAATAAGACACCAGTAGCAAGCAAGATCAGTATGGAGAGGAGCTCGAAATGAATATGCAACACATTGTTTGACTCGACCCAGCTAGTCGAGGAGTCAATGAAGGGGAGGTGGAGGGAGAGACAGATACATAAACAGACAGACAGAGAGGGGCAGTAGTGGTGGTGGTGGGGGGAGGGTGATGTGGAGAAAGAAAGAACCGCCCAAAACCCAAAATGTGAGCCCAGACATTTCATAACTCACCCCAGCTGGTGGAGGGGTCGATGACAGGGGAGTTGACACACAGGATGATCTTAGACAACAGGGCCCAGGTAGACTCGGAAGCCATAGGGGATGTGCAGCCCTGGGGAGACAGGCAGATGTCATGGCTAGTTGTATACACACAGACATACATAGTGCACAAACAAAAAGATGTACATACACTCAAACACACTGAATTAAATACACACTCACCAAGACATACACACATACATGCATTCCCAGACAGACAGACAGACAGACAGACAGACAGACAGACAGACAGACAGGCAGACAGACAGACAGACTTACATACACGTACGCACACACGCAGACACATGCACACACACACACACACACACACACACACACACACACACAGACGCACACATCCTCCATCCATCCATCCAATCATGTACACATGCACACACTCGCAAATACATACAGACCAAGGGACAGACATGTATACAAGCAGCAACATATTCCCTAAATGAGCATCAACGAGCATGCATGGCTTTATTCATTTCAGAAAAGCATGATTTTTTTACACTCCTACTCATCTACACAATTTAGATAATTTAGGATGCAGGCTTCAACCCTGCTAGTCAAGGCTAACCTGAGCTGAGAGGGATTCAATGTCCCAGCAGAAAAACCTGAGGTACTTCATAAAAATTCCCCCTTCACAGGAATTGAACCCGCGTCTTCTGCATGTTACGCAAAGCACCTTATCACCATAACACCACAAATACCAGTCATGCTTGACTCACCTTCAGCAATAGGATGTAAACCCCAGGGAAGTTAGGCCATTTGATCTGGTTGAGAATTTTGTCCAGTTTGTCACGACACTCAGGCCGTTCAGGCTGAAGGTGGCACAGGATCTGGCAGGAGAGAGAGAGATAGGGAAAAGGTCCGCTTGTATCATCCATGTGCATTAGCGTCACCCACGCATCTTGCCCAAATCGACTGCTCATCAGTGTAAGATTCTGTCATATTTCAATTTTCAAAGTGGTATATAGAGACTCTCATGGCCTAGAGGTTAAGGTGTTCTCCTCTCATTCAAAGGTCCCGGGTTCGAATCAGGTTGCGACCAAAAAAAATTTCTTCTCTAAAATTGTCTTCTTTCACCTCCTTTCCTGCTCTCTAGCAATGTTCTGTCGTCTGCTTTCGTCTCTTTTTTCTGCCCCCACCCCCTCACCTCCTTTGCCCCCTCCTCTGGGCTCCTGATTCTTTCTGCA